CCACATTATTTCTTTAAAAGGGGATCAGCTCTCTCTCAGGAAATTGCATTAAAATAATAGCCTAATGTCACAGCTTGGTCCAGTTCATCTGACCTGGAGTGCACTGGAGTCAATATAACTATGTAGTTCCCCTCTGTCACTGATAGACTTGGATTGCTTTAACTATTCAGACAGGGATAGTCAAGGAGTGCGTTATGGAAAATTGTTTTTTGGGCAGGTAAGTAAAACAACCACAGAAGTTTTTCTGAAGCTAAAGACTGTATTAATAATCACAGACATTTTCCCTCTCCTCTTAGGAGCCTGAATTCTAGTGATATTTCTTCCATATTTTACAGCTATGCAATGAGTAGAAAATTTTGCCATCAGTACACTGTGAAAAAGGCTGCACAATACATTTGTATGAAGATACGATATCCTTGGAGTATGGCTTAAGTGAAGCCGCATGCAGAGGGGATCAGAGAGGTGAGAAATTCTTATTTTGGCCATATTAAAGTCAATATAAACACTGTGTGTGCTGGTGGTGTAAATATATATATGACAATAATAACAGGTTGGGGCAGATCTCTGAACAAACCCCAAATAACCCATCACCTGTGCTTATGTATTATGGATGCATTAAGACCACTGCTCTGTGGCACCAGACAGTACTGTAGACATCAAATGAAGTTATGAATTCCATTCACATTCTGAATTTCTTTTACAGTGTTGGAAGATTACATTCATCACTTCATCCTCTGGCAACTTTAAGATGTAACCGTACAGTCAACCTATCCTTCAGGTAAGCACACAGCTCACAGAAAGGAGGGACTAAAGAACTGAGTAACACTTTCAAAACTGAGAGCTTTCAAGATTTGTTTTGCATGTTTTGAGTTTTTCTTACAAATTTGTACCTTAAAGTATTTTGCTATGTGTACTGGGATAAATTACTTATACCTGTAGGACAGTGAATGGTTTGGGACAGGAATCAGCTAAGTGGTTGAAACTTGCTTTTTCTGTTTTGCTTCTGTTTGAAGCAAATTTTACTTTGCTTTTTTTTCTATTTCACTTCTGTTATGATACTGACTGTTTGGAATACTCAGAAGCCTTTAGATAAAAGATGATGCAGCACAGCAGACTATGGTTGACTGATGTTTATTTAGTTATGTTCAACTAGTGGCTTTGCCACAGACCTTTCAAGTGATCTTGCTCAATTAAATTAAGACCTGTGTCAAATGAAAATACTGGAGATTACTTCCATTTTCTCTTTGTTGTCTACTTAGCCTGTCGGGTATTTGATTGTAATATAGTGGTTGTCACATATACGACAATGGCAAAATGAAGCCCTGATCGTGAATGGAACCTGTAAACAACACTGCAACATAACGAAGTTAGTAGTTTGACATGGTGATGCTAGAACTTGGTGTGTATATTTTAAGTGAGGGGACACCTGGTCCTCTGTGGTCTGAGATATCCCGGGGTTAAGGAGTTTTAGTCAAATTCGTCAGGTGAGATCTGCTCCTTTGTATCAGGCCCAGTTCCTCTGGGCACTATATAAGCAGTATCTTGAGAATTTATGGGCATCAGAAACTGCCTTGAAGAAGATTTTTCTCTATAGAGGAAACCTCTGTTTTCTTAATGCTGCTGATAAAGGCCTCCCTGCAGCAGTAGCTCTGCCATCCTCTACTCTGAAGTGCCTTTCCTCCCCTTGTGCTGCTTTCCCAGCCACGCATTGATGGGATTGGATGGGATGGAGAGCAGGAAGGGTTGCTGCAGAAAGGGGAGGCACGGTAGAATTAAACTCTGACATTCTTCATATAAAATTAAAATCAATAGCTGTTATTTAAAGATACCCTCCTGCCAGGTGTAGATTAGCCCAGGACTGAGCTGCTGAGAGTGTTGGGGACAATTTAAAAATTTAATTCAAACCTATCAGAATTTAAATTCAAACCATCTTTGCTTTGCCTGCTAATGACCATAGCATAATTGGCAGCAGCTGTGCAGCCTGTGGGCGAAATTCTGCTGTTTGCATGTCCGTGCCAGGGAAGTGCTCCTTAGCCTGAGAGCAGGCACTGGGCCGTGGCTGTGCAGAGTGCTCCACAGAGCCCCCTTGGCCCTGTGTGTATGGACCAAGAACAGCTGTGAACTGCTGACTTGGTGCTCGAGAGGGCTATAGAGAGAGAGTCATATGTGGAACTATTTCATACTCATCACTGTTTTGTGAAGTGTTTAATCATCCCATCACACATAATATATGGAATGAATAACTTCATGTGATGTCCTAACAGGCTTTTTTGGAGTAATGTGTTAGATAAACATCATATGACCTTGTATTACCTAGACACTGTCACACTGAAGCTTTAAATAAACAGTTAAAAATTACAAGAAATATCTTGGACAACTCAGGCATTATTTTAGAAACGTCAGGCACCCATTCTGTTCCTAGTACAAAGTTAACTGGTTGTTTACAGTTAGGTGCTGTTAACCAATCCAAATATTTTACAGTATGGGAAACATTCACTGCTTGCAAGTCTCTGTTTTCATATAATGTGCAGGTTATAGTTTCAGGAACAAGTCAGTGCCTATGAATGCTTCATATCACATAAATGAACCTCGACATCCAAGGCAATGGAGATCTTGTTTTATCACTTCAGTTCTGGTCTTACTTATTGTTTTTTACTTTTCTCTTGCACACATATAAGTCTTTAAAAAAAGCTAAGAGATGCAGGCAATATTTTTTGCTGCTAGTGGTGCATAATAATTATCAGAAACAGAACTCCAGCAACAGTGTTACCGAGTCCATTTTGTTAGCTGAAGTGTAAGTGTGCTTTGTTATTTCTTAAAATATATATGCTTGTATACGTATATAAAAATAGTCTCTCTTAATTATTGCAGAAATAGGTAAGTTGCTGTTACTATCAATACTTCATGGATATTGTGGTAACAGCTGATTTTAGAGCACAGATGGTGGCGAAACAGTTCCACATTGAACCAAAATTACACGTATTCTCAGGATACCAGTGTGGAATTGCACTGAACTCGTAGAGTTCTTAGTCCTCTAGTTCCCATAGAGGACCAGGGTAGGTAATAGAAGGAACTTTATGAAGCAAGGGATTTCTGAGAAGAAAGTCTCTCTGTAGCTGACTGCCAAAGTAATCAAGAGTCTGGCATCACTTGCGCATTACAAGTGGGTAGTTGGCATATTGCTCACAGGAGGAGACACGCAATATTGTTTGTGCCCTCTTTCCAAGACATCTACTTATGAGGAAGTTTGCTGCTTGGACATGAGTTGTGATAAGCATTTGCAACCTGAGGGGAATGGATGATAAAACCATACACTTATGCGCCAAAGATACAATAGGAAAGAGACAGTCTATCAGTCACGTGAATTGTGATTGGCCTGTTGCAATGGAATAGCCTTAACAAAAAAAATGAAAGCTATTTACCTTCTGAATGGATTTTACATAGTTGCACAAAAGGGAAAGGAAGAGAGAAGACAATAGAAAAGAAGAGAAACGTTCCCACCAGCTCTTCCCCTCCAAAATTAGCATTGGCATTGGTGAAGTCACACACAAAGGAAAGTCTCACTTTCTTTGTGCCTTTCACAATGACATCAACATGCATGGCTATGAGATGACGAGCGAATACCTCACTCACAATGAGTAACAAATTAGAATTTTCTTCAAAGCAAAAAAATGATAACACAAGACCATCATAGGTATATGCTAGCTCTTTCAAAACATCTCTTTTTGACTAGATGTGTGTTAAAATCACTTGACTGGCAATCTGTTCTATCTAGTACAACACAGGGGGATATTCTGAAGAGGCTGAAGAATGTCTACTATGCAACTTGGCTGGAACATCTGCCAAAAATGAAGTTGGCTTTGTTTTCAACATGGTTATCTACTTCAGAATTACTCCACAGAATAAATAGTGATATTCCATGGGTAGAGGTAGATTATGGGGTTTAAATAATCAAACTGGAGCCCTGTAACTTTATGTGCTATAGGAGGATTCTCATAAAACTGAGATATTCCCATAATTAACCACTAGCCATGGGATATTATAATATATTCCATGGTGACTAGTATTTTTTCCATTTCCCTCCCCCCCTCCCAGTAGAATTAGTGTGATTAATTTTGCTCTGGTTTCACCTATTGCTAACACGAATCAGTATAATTAAAAATAAGAATACCGTATTATGAGGCGATCACTGTTTAGGCCAAATGGGCCAGTAATGACCAGTCAGACCTTTTCCAGTTGGCCTTTGCTGCTAGAAGGTTGAAAGAGCTGTAACTCACCAACCCATACTTGCAAAAGGAGCATGTTTTAGAAAATGTGGTTCAAAACTCTTCATGGTTCTAAATGCTAAAATCTAGTGGAATATTATAGAATAGATTGATTTGCATGCCATGGAATAAACATCCTTACATCTAGTCTTGTCTCAGAGTGAGTCATTTTGCATTAGTGTCAAGAATTTGAGCTGTTGTTCTACTTTGCAGTTAATCATCAGAAAGAGACGGGATTGTCTCATGAATATGCATGATGGTATAGTTGTCCCTTCAACTTACTAGGCACCTAGTTTCTGTAATGAGATGTACAATATCTGCCATTTAAAACAGCTGAAAGGTCCCAAATGGGAACAAATGAGAAAGCATCTGGCTGTTTCGAATTCCAGCCCTATTTTGTCAGAAAACTCTGTAATTGCTGAGTACTTGGCTCGTACTCTGCTCTATGAAGCATTCAGCTCTCAGGAGCCTCTGAGATGTATTACACAGTCCAGCAACATAGCTGTAGAACTCTCAAAATTCTTCCACTAGATGTAACAGCTCTTCAAAATATCTTGAGACTTGTATGCCCTTAACCAAGACCAAGGTTTGGGCTCCTAGAGCGTGCTCTCATCCTTAGTTTTGCTGATCAGCCTCCACTGTACCATTTGTCCCTGCAACCTAGACTTCACACATATTATTCACTGTGTGATGGTGGGACTAGAATGGATAAATGTGCTACCCATTGCTCTAAGAAAGCAGTCTGGCTGAATCTTAAATCACTACGCGGGATGGAGGTTAACGGTCAGATGGACATTCCTCTAAGAGGTTTCCTACCTGCTCTGTTAATTTCTAAAATTTCTTCTTGGGCCAGTGGGCAAGTGTCGCTCTGAGTACTGTGGTGTGGAGAGTTTACGACAGATTTACAATAATTGGGGGATCCCAGCTGGGGTGGCCTCGGGATATGCTTCTTTTTTTTCTTTGGTAGCTTCTGCTTAGCCATAGCTAAGGAGTAATACATTCCGAAATTGTTCACAATGACAGGGACAGGCATGGCAATGGTCAGCACACCAGCGAGAGCACAGAGGGCCCCCACCAGCATGCCTGACCAAGTCTGAGGATACATGTCTCCGTAGCCCAGGGTTGTCATGGTGACAACAGCCCACCAAAAGCCGATGGGGATATTTTTAAAGTGTGTGTGTTCACTGGCACTAGGGTCATTTGGTTTAGCACCTATTCTCTCGGCATAATAGATCATCGTGGCAAAGATTAAGACGCCCAATGCCAAAAATATGATGAGCAGCAAGAATTCGTTTGTGCTGGCGCGGAGGGTGTGTCCCAAGACCCGCAACCCAACGAAGTGGCGGGTCAGCTTGAAAATTCGCAGGATTCGCACGAAACGGACTACACGGAGGAAGCCCAGGACATCCTTAGCAGCTTTGGAAGACAGGCCACTGAGTCCAACCTCTAGATAGAAAGGCAGTATGGCCACAAAGTCAATGATGTTCAAAGAGTTTTTGATAAATTCCACCTTGTTTGGGCAGAAAGTGACTCTCATCAAGAACTCAAATGTAAACCAGACCACACAGACACCTTCGATGTAGGTGAGAAAGGCTTCAGTCTCTGCTTCCCTGTAGTGCCGCACCTGGGTGTCATTCCCGATGAATTCAGTTTCTGTCTTGTTCACAATGGGGTTAAATCTCTCATGGGTCTCGAGGCAGAAGGTGGTGATGGAGACCAGAATGAAGAAGAGGGACGCAAATGCCACATACTGTGGAAAGAAAGATATGAGAGAAATGTTAAACAGTAGGTTAAGTACAGGGGCTTTGATTCTGAAACACCAGGGAGAGACAAGAGCTGTATTGAAACTAAAGATAACGCCAAGCCTTCTTCCTGTGGGCTTAAGATGCCAAGTCTCACCTGCAAAGACAGCCTAACATTCAAACTTGGAGGGAGGCCGTTATATAACTACATGCTAACATCCATTCCTATATAGATAGCACTTTAGTGTGAGTGTAAATTTAAGCAAGCATTTAAATCTTGGTACTTTCTGTGGGATTTAAGGTTAAGGACATACTGAAATTCTACTTTCCTGAATTTGGTCTTCAGTTACTTCCTGGTCTTAAAGACAGAGCACACCTTCTAAGACAATTGTCATGCAAGAGTCTTTTCACAGCATTGTGTCAGTTGTATGGTGGTTACCTCCTACCCCTAGCTTAGTGGCAATTGTGGTATTTCAGATCTCAGTAAGGTGCTAGTAAATACAACCGGCAGTCTCAGGTGGGCTCTACAGCAAGGAGCAGAGTCCTGCTTGGCATTGTCAGACTTTCTTGCCAAATCCCAGGGACAGGATGAGGAACAGTCACCTATCAAACCAAGCTCTCCTAGAGTAAATATCTTATCTGTTCTCAGTTCCCTTCTCCAGATGGGGTGGGGGACAGGGAGGGGAAGAAAGAGGTTACAGGTAAGCCTGTCAGCTGATCCAAAAGGAGACAGATCTGTTGGATTTTACCAGACAAGGTTTTCTTGAAGAGACTCTCATTACAGTGTAAGACTTGTACCAGAACTAGATGAACCTGTTTTTAAGGTTGTTGGACTACAGTTTGGTTAATCAAGTTACAGTGAAAGTGGTAGCAGCCCCAAAGTCAATTATCTTAGTAGTATTTGCCTCTTCTGCTTCAGTTCTTGCTTTTCATAGAGTCACAGAATCATAGAATGGTTTGGCTTGGAAGGGGCCTTTAAAGGTCACCTAGTCCAACCCCCCTGCAATGAGCTGGGACATCTTCAACTACAGCAGGTCACTTAAAGCCCTGTCCAGCCTGACCTTGAATGTTTCCCCGGATGGGGCATCTACCACCTCCCTGGGCAACCTGTTCCACAGTTTCACCACCCTCATCATAAAACATTTCTTCCTTATATCTAGTCTGAATCTACCCTCTTTAAAACCATTACACCTTGTCCTATTGCAACAGGCCTTACTAAAAAGTCTGTCCCCATCCTTCTTATAAGCGCCCTTTAAGTTTTGAAAGGCCACAATAAGGTCTCCCTGGAGTCTTCTCAAGGCTGAACAACTCTCTCAGCTTTTCTCAGGCTTTCCTCAGCCTAAAGGAGATCTCTTGGTTGTATTCCAGGATAATTGAGGGGTACAGTCAGGCCAAAATTCACAACTCTTGTAACCACAGTTCCTCTGCTCAATCCTCCTTCAATCAATTAAGTAGTTTGCATATCTAAGAAGTCTCTTTGTGTGTTGGATTGGTACAGTAATGGTAATATCTCTTTCCATTTCACTTCCTACATCTGTTATCTTCCTGTTTGTCTTGTGTGTCACCTTGACAAGAGATGTCACATAAGATATTATTTCACCATCTTCATAAGCATGAGCAACTGTGGTAATTAAAATATTATTCAAATATTCTTATAGTGTCCTGTTATTTGTAATGTTCCGTTTCCAGCAGCGTAGCCAAAATAGGGGTTAAAAAGTACTAGTTTCTTCTAATTGTCTGTTGCCAGTAAATGCAGTGCAATAATCTAAAAGAAATTGCTGCCAAAGGAATAGACCAGTTAAAAATAACATATGCTTCAAGCTACCAAAGCTCTCCTGCAATCAAGAAGTTCCTCCTGTCTGCTTTCCTGGGTAGACCTAGTGCAGAATTATGCTTGACCGTCTGTGTTAGCAAACAAAGTCAAAAGCAAGGGTTTGCCACAGTTTGAGGAGAACCATTTAATGGAATACAGAGAAACTGGCAGAGAATAAAATCACAGAATCCTTTAGGTTGGAAGGGCCCTCTGGAGGTCATTTGGTGCAACTTCAAAGTCGGACCAGGTTGCTCAGGGTCTTGTCCGGTCCAGGTCTGCATATCTTCAAGGTTGGAGATCCCACAGCCTCTCTGGGCAGCCTGTGCCAGTGTTTAACCAGTAAGAGCAAATAACCTTGGAAGGATACAGAAGCAAACAGGCTCTTCTGTCTTTCAGATCCAACTTTGTTGCCAAAAGAGATCAGAACCTAGCCATTGTCACAGATTTAAAAAGCCCAGTAGCCTTCCCCTAAATGCTTCAGGCTCCCATAGCATTGTTATGTGATGATCTAATATACATGCTGATATATGCTAAAATCAGCATCTAATGTAATTGGATTGTTGTCTGGAAGATAAACAATCTGGAGGTTAGGGAAATTGAGAAGCAGGACTATGGGTATCTTTTTATCAGATTCTCCTGTTAAATAGGGAAATTTCTCCATGCCCAGTCTCTCCATCTATAAAATAGGTTAAAAAACAAAACAAAACAAAACAAAAAAACCAAACCAGCTGGTGTTTGTCATGTGCTTTGTGATCCTAGATAAATGTGTACAGGTTCTATATGCTTTCATTTTAATGTTACTGACTTTAGTATGTCAACAGTCCCCCTGAAAAATGAGTTGAAGAGTCGTTTAAGTGGTCAGAGTCAGTTTGTGTATGATATTGTTAACATGTAGAGGTTAATACCCCAATTGTCTGAGTAAAATGAGAAACAAAAAGCATCTTGCACCAAGAACTCAGGAAAATGTTCCTAGCAGCCTCAGCATGTCTGCTCTATTTCAGCCTGGAGCAGATTTTTACCGTAGAGTCGTAGAGCCCTGAGAATTCAAGCTGCAGAAGGAAATGCTGACACTTCGTTAAGTCAGGTAGCACTCACAGATAAGAAGCAGAGAGGGGAATAAAACCATTTTGCATTTTAAGGGGTCTGTGAAGAAGGCCCCTTTCTTTATGCTGACTCAAAATGCAATTCTCCTCTTGGTATATATGAGTATCTCTTCTGAGTGAGTTTTTCCTGCTTAGGACAACCTTCAGGCTGACCTTGCACAACAAATATCTTGAAAAATGATGTTTTGCTGTATTAAAGGGAAGAAATAACCAGTTCTGACAGGACATTTAAGTTCTCTGCAGTGGTACATGCCAGCAGCGTTACCAGTAGAGAACATGACACTCGTGATCTCTCTTGCTGTTAGCCCTTGTGTGCACACACCTTGGCTTCAGAGGGGAATTGAGAACTTTTAGTCCCCAGTTCAGCAGAGCAGGATGCATCTCCTAAATGAACATGAAGCATTTGCTTCCTTCTGTCTGTGTTTAACAACATCCAGAGTGCTTTCCCAGGGATGGGCATGCTCTTGAATGCTTTGCAGCTTCGGAAGCGTGGGTCTGCTTTCAAGATTTCATAAAACCATGTCTAAGCAATGGTATTGACAGGAAGAATCCCAGTAGTTCTTCTCCAATTTAACTTTTTTTTCTCTGTTGAATTACTAGCTAATCCTAAAACCTATTTTGTATTTGGGAGGTAAAAATGCTCCTTAGTCATTCCATGCTTCAATACTGAAAGGCCCTTGGTTTTCAGTCTGCACAGACTGAAAGGAGAAGACAATGGAGAGCAGTTTTTTAATAAAGGTCCCATTACAGTTCCCCAGTCCCTTGGCTGATCCAAAGAAGTATAGAAATGCTTGAGAATCAGGCTTGACAATTTGGTCACTGACACCCATCTCTGATAGATTTATCACCTGCAGCTGCTTGGGACACAGAAATTCAGCAGCTTGCTACAGATGAATGCGTAATATGTCATTGGCATAGATTTATGTTTGCGATCCCCAGTTTATATTGCCCCAACCCCTTTTTTCTTCTGAATATTTTTCTTTGTTAATTATCTGGTATAAGATCTAGCAAGCTGCAAGCAAAATCCAATAGCACCAAATTCAGTCAGTATGTTTTTCGAAGAAGACCAGCATTCATTCATGCCAAAAGGGTGGAAAAAAAGAGCTCTCTCTGGCCCACTGTCAGAGGCCAACAGAGATCAGTCATCATGCCTAACATGATAGCTTGATAAGTCCAGAGATAAGCAATGCTGGTAAAATCCAGTGAAGACTATGGGACTCGTGCGTGTTCTAACGTTTTTGAAACTAAGGCTATCTCTTTTTATTTCACTAATAATGGCCTGAACACTAATCAAACCAATGGATTGCTCTTGTATTATTATTAAGTGGTTCTTAATCTTCTTTCTCCTTACATTTTACAACAGAATTTCTCTTCTTCATAGGATCTGAATGGGCTGGGGGAAAGGAGTGAGGATTTTATGAAGTGATGACACGTGCTGTTGAGTTACATAATGGCAGCTAAAATTTTCTATAATTAAAGAAAATACCTAGTTAAAGTGTTTGAAGTGATCAAAACTCTTTTATCTGCTTTGACACATGTGAATGGTTCCTATTTCACTAGAGATGCTGCTGGTTTTTTCTGGCTCTGATACCAACAATGAAAAATCTCAGATTGTCCAAAACCGCAGAAGCCGTAAAAGAAGGCAGAGAGGAGATTTTAAAAGGGGATATTTTGATTAAAGTATTAGTTACATTAAAATGTCTTCATTCTGGAGAGAGAAGAAATTTGCACTCCTGCATAATTTCTGTTAATAGCAGATATATTTTAATAAGGTTATTTTGAAAGAGTCTGAAAGATGTCATGCCCATAAGTGGGGAATTTCATCATCTAATTTATATTGCTTCTGATTAAATCAATCTATCTATCTATCTATCTACCTCAAAGGCCTGCTTCTCCCTGCTTCTCCACTGCCCTATGTCTAACCTAGCCATTTTTTGCCAGTGCAGTGTGAATAGAGTGCCAATTAATTCACAATAGTAGTGTTTCATGTGAGCTTTGCATAGCTGTAACAGGAGCAAGGTAACAGAATGAGACCTAACCTCTCATGAATAATGAACAAGTATCTTTCCACCCAGCATGGAAAGAAAAAAGTCCAACAGCCTTAAAGACACCAATAAACCTTCTAATATATGAGGATTAGGAGGCTAGGCTCA